AGGGGCTAGTAACCCCTTCTCCTGTATATATTACTAAATGTAAAAGGAAAAACTTTCGTTATTCTTTTTGGGCCACCCCACCTCGGTGGGATACGGCCTGTGTGTTGAAAGAAAGAAAAAGGAGAAACTTTCGTTTTTCCTTTTGGGCCACCCCGCCTCAGTGGGATACGGCCGGTGTGTTGAAAGAAGAAGACTAATGAAATGGATAAATCAACATTTAACATCACTTTTACCTTTATTGAAGACTCATGTTGGCGTATGGAAGACGGCAAGGAGGGGAGAGGGAGGAGAGGTTATTGTTTGGAAAAGGAATCAACTCCAAAACACTGTCCCGCTAACTGTTTTTCATTGATCCACACCAACAACAACTTCTCAAAATCTTCAGTTGTTTGCTATCTGTTTGGTTAGCACATTTACCCCCTTTAGCAACATCAGCTTCCTTTATTTCTTTTTTCTTTGCCAGGATGGAACTGATCATTGATGCAGATTTCCCGTACATCCTGGCGAGATCAGCCACCCGTATGCCACTTTCGTACTTAGCTACGACTTCTTTTTTGAATTCTATTTAGCAGTTGCACTCAGTAAACGAACACAAAAAGCAATAGATTATTACGAAATATTTTGGCTGAACGTGCGGGGTGATGCTCACTCAACAATAAACAAAGGCAGACTTGAGACACTCGACACTTGAGTGGCTGAGTGATATGGGCAGGTAGGCGGATGCGTTCGGTACGGACCATTGTCAACTCTACGAAAACCGAGATGTACAAAAACTGGGACAAAATTTTGACTGAAAAAGTCGTCGAAAACCGAATCCTATGAAAACTGGGGCACACAAAAACCGAGGTTCCACACTATTCTTAAACTTACCCCAAACATCTTCTACCCCATTGCCTATACAGTGGACCCCCGCATAACGATTTTAATCCGTGCAAGAGGGGTAATTGTTATGCGAAATAATCGGTATGTGAATGAATTTTCCCCATAAGAAATAATGGAAATAAAATTAATCTGTGCAAGACACCCAAAAGTATGAAAAAAATTTTTTTTTACCACATGAAATATACATTTTCCCACACACAAAGAGAAGGATATATGCACAATAGTAGAGTAGTACATGCACAGTATATATTGTGCATGTACTAGTCTACTAAATGAAGAATAAATGACACTTACCTTTATTGAAGATGCAGCAATGACTGATGAGACACTGTGTCCTGGGAGTGCCTTTTCCTCCTGAGTACTGTAGGTCCTGTTTGGCATTTTCTTCCAGAACAGGCCTTATCACACTGTGTATGCCACTACGATTCTTAAATCTCTCAAACCAACCTTTGCTGGCTTTAAATTCACCAATATGAGCACTAGTTCCAGGCATTTTTCCCTGTTCACCTGGGTGTTAGTCGACTGGTGTGGGTTGCATCCTGGGAGACAAGATTAAGGACCCCAATGGAAATAAGTTAGACAGTCTTCGATGACACTGACTTTTTTGGGTTATCCTGGGTGGCAAATCCTCTGGGGTTAATTGTTTCTTGGTATTCTCAATAAGCCACACCAACAACGGTGCTACAGCAGCAGCAGCAGCTGACGGTGGTACAGCAGCAACAGACGATGCTACAGCAGCAGCAGACGATGCTACAGCAGCAACAGACGATGTTACAGCAGCAGCAGACGATGCTACAGCAGCAGCAGCAGCTGACGGTGGTACAGCAGCAACAGACAATGCTACAGCAGCAACAGACGATGTTACAGCAGCAGCAGACGATGCTACAGCAGCAGCAGCAGCTGACGGTGGTACAGCAGCAACAGATGACGCTACAGCAGCAACAGACGATGTTACAGCAGCAGCAGACGATGCTACAGCAGCAGCAGCAGCTGACAGTGCAGCAGCAGCAGCAGCTGTACCACCAATAGTAGCGATGGTTGATTGGGGTTTATTATACAACCTGGCCAGCTCGGAGACACGCACTCCACTTTCATACTTATCAATGATCTTTTTCTTCATCTCTATTGTAATTCTCACCCTTATTGCTGTAGGGTTGGCACTAGAAGCTTTCTTGGGGCCCATGGTCACTTATTTTCCAGAAAAAGCACCGAAAACACTGTAATAATACGAAATATTCCGATTGTATGCTTGGATGTTACCGCGGAGGCTGGCTGGTAAACAATGCCACCGGCGGAACATGTGAGCGTGGCTCAGGCCGCACATTGGACGCGTCTCGGACGAGAATCGGTGAGCGGGTTTTTAAGCGGTATGTGAGGCAAAATTTTGGCGATTAAAGCAAGCGGTATGCGGATTAATCGCTATGTGATGCCATCGGTATGCAGGGGTCCACTGTACTCACACTAGCCCATCTGTCCTCCAACAGTTGTTTATATCTTACCCTAAGTGTCTCCTCCATTAGTTTACAAACCTTCACCTCTCTCTTACTTGCTGCTTCCATTTTCCTTGTATCCCATCTACCTTATACTCTCACTGTAGCTACAACTAAAAAGTGATCTGATATGTCTGTGGCCCCTCTATAAACATGTACATCCTGAAGTCTACCCAACAGTCTTTTGTCTACCAATACGTAGTCGAACAAACTACTGTCATTACGCCCTATATCACATCTTGTACAGTGGTCCCTCAATTATCGTCCTAAATCCGTTCCTGGAAGTGGGACTGTTATCGAAATAGACGATTTTCAAATCAATTTTCCCCATAAGAAATAATGTAAATCCAATTAATTCGTTCCAGACACCCAGAAGTATCAACAACAATTTTTTTTTTTTACCTAAAAGATAGATTTACATGCACAAAAGAATGAACATTCAACATGACAGTTACATTTATTGGAGGCTGTTGTTGATGAATGGAAGACGGAGGAGGAGAGAGAGGGAAGATTGGTTATTGTTTGGAAGGGAAATCCCCCTCCATAAGGACTCTAGGTCACTTCAGGGGTCACTTCCCTAGCATAAATATAGATTTACATGCAGAAAAAAATGCCAAATAAATGTAAAGCACTAATAAAATGTATAAATGAACATTGGTAATAGGGGTAGTTGATGAGTGGAATGGTCTGCCTAGTAGGGTGATCGAAGCTAAAACATTGGGTAGTTTCAAATTTAGGTTGGATAAATACATGAGTGAGAGGGGTTGGATTTGAGTCGGACTTGCACCTGAGCTTATTGCTTGGGTAGCATTTGTTCTGTTAGTGGGTTGGATTTGTGAAGGACTGGCCTAGTATGGGCCAACAGGCTTATTGCAGTGTTCCTCCTTTCTTATGTTCTAAAAGCTATGGCTTGGGTAGTTTCAAATTTAGGTTGGATAAATACACGAGTGAGAGGGGTTGGATTTGAGTCGGACTTGCACCTGAGATTATTGCTTGGGTAGCATTTGTTCTGTTAGTGGGTTGGATTTGTGAAGGACTAGCCTAGTATGGGCCAGAAGGCCTACTGCAGTGTTCCTCCTTTCTTATGTTCTTATTGGAGACTTGTTTGTGTGAGGGAGGGATGGCAAGTTTATTGTTGGAGAATATGACACTAATGTCAACTCTACGGCTTATTTATCTATCACAATTCAACTAATATGACATAATAAACAATATTAATAACATAGAAACATGGAATATACTCTAGAATGAATAAAATAAGTCATTACGTATGTCATGAGAGGTGTTGTGTTATGTTGTTGTTGGGTATATAAGGGCCACTGAGAGTAAGCCATCCATAATGGTGGTGAAGCAGCAGCTGAGGCGGTGGTGTTTTCTTTAGCCCTATATAACTCCAACAAAATTGGAGGAGTTGGTAGAATCGCTGAATCACTAAAGAAGGAACCCTCTACCACCATCACTACCACTATTACAACTGTTACCACCATCACTACTACCTTCTACCACCATCACTACTACCTTCTACCACCATCACTACCACCATCAACCACTATCACAACTGCTTCCACTCTACCACCACCACCTTTGTATTTTTCTACAAACTTTTTCATAAATTGTATGTGTTTCTCACATTCTTTACCAAAGGGCTGGCACTAGAAGCTTTCTTTGGAGCCATGGTAGCTTATTGAGCACTTGCAAGCACTAAAACCAATGGAATATTATGAAATATTTCGTAGGAGCATGTGAGGGGACCGTCGCTCACTGGTAAACAATGGCACACTGGCTTGGAAGGCAGGCCCAGGCGGCTCAGAGCGTGAGTACGCGTCCCAGACGATGGATGATTAGCGAGTTAACGGACCATTTGTGAGCCAATGTTTAGACTAAATAACGGGACTAGTATTTCCGAAATGGACGACTTTCAGGCCGGACGATTATTGAGGGACCACTGTATACTTGTTTATCCTCTTTTTCTTAAAATATGTGTTACCTATAACCAAACTCCTTTCTATACAAAATTCAATCAATGTTCCCCATTATCATTTACACCTGGCACCCCAAACTTACCTACCACACCCTCTCTAAATGCTTCTCCTACTTTAGCATTTGGGTCCTTTACCACAATTACTCTCTCACTTGGCCCAAAAGTTCCTACACACTCAATATCTTCCAAAATCTCTTTCCTCTACACTCCTCTCTTCTCTAGGTGCATACACACTTATTATGGCCCACTTTTCACATCCAACTCTTATTTTAATGCACATAATCCTTGAATTTATACATTTATATTCCCTCTTCTCTCTCCATAACTGATCCTTCAACTTTAAAGGAGGGGTTTTGGGTTATTGGCTGTTTGGAGTGACATCTAAACTGCAAAGACAGTGATTATGTGTGAATGATGGTAAAAGTGTTGAATAATGATGAAAGTGTTTATTTCTTTTTTTTGGGTCACCTTGCCTTGGTGGGAGACAGCTGGCATGTTGAAAAGAAATAAATTCTTTTCTCTTTCTTACCCAGATACTGTACATTCATTGTGTTGAACCAAGGTGGTCAGCATTAGGATTTTTAGAAGAGTTTTAGCATATGAATAAACATTAATTTTCGTAAATATTTACTGTTTTTTTTTTTCAGTTTGTGTGTCGGTGGGAGGAAGTAAAATCTGGAAGAGATGACTTCAAAATTCGGGATAAGTTATGGAAATATTATTACTTATCCCATTCCAGCTATACACACTCCAGGTGATTTTTGGAAAATAAATACTGTAGTTGCTTCTTAATCATATTTCATCTGCTGTGAGCATATTGGTTTGTCTTTCTTGTATTGGAAAAATAAATGAATATTTATGAATCGTGTTGTTGGTATTGCATTTGAGCATGATAAACCCTCTCCTAATGATTGAGTTACATTCCTGAAAAGTGGCACCTTTGAACACTGACATTATATGAAGTGAAGAACATGTAGAAAAAAAAAAAAGGGTTACATTTCACACATACCTCCAAATTAACCAAACTACTCTTTCTAATGTTTTACTAGGTAAAAATTACTACATCTCAGTTGTGATTGCTTGTTGATATAGCAGCATGTAGAGAGGGTTGATGTGGCTAAGATGGATGGCCGTACTTCTTGTGTTGACGAGGATATAGAGTTGTTAGTAGTTAATGTTTGCACTGGAGTGCTCAGGTATTCAGTAATGCATCTCAGGTCTGTTTTATCCTCTAGTACTTAACAGAGCTAATGGTCAGGAATCATAAGCTGCTCCAAACCCCACTTCAGAACAATGCTTCTAGATGTGTCAGGGTTTTGTTCAGTGAGAAATGTCTGTACATTTACTGATAACTTGAAATTGCTGACAGAACTATAGCATTGTTAACTATTTATCTCCAGGTTCTTTGTCATTGTTATTTTTTATGTCTGTCTGTCTGTCTCTGAAATGGAGCTCCTTCAGCAGTTCTTCTGCAGTTGTCTCCTTCTCATCCTCTCCTAACAGTTCATTCAACTCATAAACTGTGTACACATAATAGTATACAGGGGATTAGGCTTTTTTTTGACATAATAGTACGCCCAATTTTTTATTTTGGCCTCTAATGACCATGCATCATTATTTTAGGGCTCATCTCAACTGTTTGAGTTCCCTACTGTCTCATGCCTAAGCAAAAAGTCTAGGACCAGGTGGGTCTATGCACTGCATCATGAGAAACACTGCTTCAGAAGTACAGTGGACCCTGGGTTATCGGCCGTAATCCGTTTCAAAAGGCCGGCTTAAAACCGAAATGGTCGATAACCGAAATAATTATTCCCATAAGAATTAATGTAAATACAATTAATCTGTTCCAGACACCCAAAAATATTCACAAAAAATACATTTTTTAGAGATTAACCCTTTGAATGTTTCGGTCGTATACATACGTCTTACGAGCCACCGTGTTTGACATATATATATACTCAAAAATTCTAATGGCTTGAAATCAAGTAGGAGAAATACACAAATAACCCGCATATAGAAGAGAGGAGGTTACGATGACGTTTCGGTCCGACTTGGACCATTTACAAAGTCAGTATGACTTTGTAAATGGTCCAAGTCGGACCAAAACATCGTCGTAGACTCCTCTCTTGTATGTGCGGGTTATTTGTGTATCGTTCCAGTCACAGTATTGTGCCTTTTTTTGTTACAAGCAGGAGAAAGGTGGTAGGCCCACACGTGAAAGAATGGGTCTGTGTGGTAAGCGTGCAACATATAAAAAAAATCCTGCAGCACGCAGGATTTTGATTGGTTTTACTATGAAAAAAACCTTGAAATGGAGCTCAATATAGGGGAAATGTTTGAGTTTTGCCGATGTTCAAAAGAAAACAAATGATGTCATTGTCCAATAAATGACCAACTAGCCATTCTAATATGCAGTCACGAATGGGTTGACATTATTTATACAATTATTACAATATTGCAGTAGTCTGCATAACAGTAAATCTTTTATTTTTTGTTTTAATAAAAATTCAAAATAGAAAGCAAGAGTTATATCAGAGGGGCCTGGAGACATGACTGATGAACAAAGAAAATGTTATTTTAGAGCCAGGAATGTCTGCAGTGTTCATTCTGGACCCTATTTTGAAATTGGCATATTTTTTAATTTGCGTGAAATTGGCCAAAATGCAAATTTCTGACCACGTTATTGGGTAGTTGAAATTGGTAAATGGGCAGTTTTCTGTGCTCAGTCGATAGAACTAATAGAGTTCTAAAGAAATAGCTATGAGCTTGGTCGACTGGAACAATGGAATTAGCCAAAAATAGGGCTCAAAGTGGACAAAATCGCCGATTCGTAAATATCGCTGAGGTCACTAACTTCACGAGAGCATAATTCCTTAAGTTTTCCATCAGATTTCATTCTTTTGGTGTCATTACCATTGGGAAAAGATTCTCTCATTTCATAAGAAAAAATGATTTTTTTTTCGAAAATTTTCGACACCAGGAGACACTTCAATATTTGGGGTTTCGACAGTCAAGGGGTTAATTATAGTTTTGCATACACAAAACAATGAGAACTAGATAAAATAAATAAATGAACAATTAAATCAGTATTACATACCTTTATTGAAGACTGTTGTTGGCTTATGGAAGATCGGGAGGAGGAGAGTGGGAGGAGAGAGTATTCTTTGGAAGGGAAATCCCCCTCTATAAGGACTTCAGGTATCAAAGCCCTGCCTGAGGTTAATTCACTTCTTTGTCTAGCTTGAGAGTCACTGGACCCCTGTCACACAAAATATCTGTTCAGAGAGCTCTGTTTCAGGTGTCTCTTTAAGATTTCCCTGAAGTGGGACAAGGTTTTGTCACTGAACCTGTTGCAGATGTAGCTTGTTTCAGGTTGGTCAGGGTGATATTTCTCAGCAAAAGCTTGCACCCTAGTCCACATTGCACAAATCTCCTTAATCTCTGAAGAAGTCACCTCCTTCACTTCCTCTTCTTCCTCCTCTGAAGCAAGTTCCTGAGCTGTGGTCTGTTGCTGTTCGAGATAAAGCTCTTGCAGCTCTTCAGTGGTTAGCTCTTTCCTGTGGTCCTCCACCAACTCTTCCACATCCTCACCACTAACCTCCAACCCCATGGACTTGCCCAGAGATACAGTGGATTCCACAACAGGCATAGGGTCCTCAGGGTCAGCCCAAAACCCTTCAGAATCCCTCTCTTGGACACATTTTGGCCACAGTTTTCTCCAAGCAGCATTCAAAGTCCTGGAAGTCACTCCTTCCCAAGCCTTCCCTATAAGGCTTATGTAATGGAGGATATTGAAGTGATTCTTCCAGAACTCTCTTAGGGTCAAATCTGTATCCGAGGTCACTTCAAAGCACCTTTGAAACCCTGCTTTGGTGTACAGTTTTTTGAAGTTAGAAATGATCTGCTGGTCCATGGGCTGGATGAGGGGAGTGGTGTTAGGAGGCATGAACTTCATTGTGATGAAATGGAATTCCACAGACAATAGGTCTACCAAGTTTGGAGGATGAGCAGGAGCATTGTCCAGTACCAGGAGGGACGTGAGTGGCAATTTATGTTCCAGGAGGTATTTTTTCACACCCGGACCACACACATCATTCACCCACTCTTTGAAAATTTGCCTTGTGACCCATGCCTTAATGTTAGCCCTTCACATCACACACAGTTTACTCTTGAAAACATCGTGTTTCTTGAACACTGGGATTTTCAGAGTGATACACCAGTAAAGGCTTCACTTTGAAATCCCCAGTAGTGTTAGCACAGAACAAAAGAGTAACCCTGTCTTTCATAGGCTTGTGTCCAGGCATGGCCTTTTCCTCCTGCGTAATGTAGGTCCTCTTTGGCATTTTCTTCCAAAACAGGCCTGTTTCATTACAACTGAACACTTATTGGGGGAGGAATCCTTTAGCCTCTACGTACACCTTGAAATCCTGCACAAAATTTTCAGCCGCACAGTTATCGGAACTTGCAGCCTCTCCATGCCTTACCACACTGTGTATGCCACTACACTTCTTAAATCTCTCAAACCAGCCTTTTCTGGCCCTAAAATCACTAGCAGCAGCACTTGTTCTAGGCATTGTATTTACAAGATATGCATGCAACTGCTTTGCCTTCCCACAAATCACTGACTCCACAACACTATCTCCCACTAATTGTTTTTCCCTGATCCACAACAATAGTAATTTTTCCATATCTTCCATTATTGGTGACCTTTGTTTCGTTATCATATTTACTCCTTTCGCAACATCAGCTTCCTTCATTTGTTCTTTCTTTACCAGGATGGAAGTGATGGTAGATTTGTTTTTCCCATACATCCTGGCAAGTTTCGACACTCAAATTTTTCAATCACTTCTCTCTTAAATTCCATTATGTTTCTCACTTTCTTTACCACAGGAACATTACTAGGAACTTCCTTTGGGGCCATGCTTACTTATTTCGAAGTTGCACTTAATAAATAACAAAGAAAAACACTGATTTATAGCAAAATGTTTGAATGAATGAGCAGAAGCTTCTTCATTTGGCCAGCGACACAGCTACACTGACTCAGGAATGCCTGAACGTCGACGGACGATAAGCGTCCAATACGGCCGATAAGCGAAATAATGGCTGATAACCGGAAGCCGAAAAACCGGCTGATAAGCGAGCTGGCCAGTAAGCGGAACAGCCGATAAGCAAGGGTTCACTGTACTTGTAAACAATTGAAGAATCACCTGTCTTACTGGTTTTATAAGTTTTGTTCATTATATTGTATTATAATTTCATAAACTAGCACCACTGAACTATTTGCAAATTCTCAGTTAATATTTTATATTCTTCACTGAATCATTGAAATCATTCGTGGAAAAGAGCCTTTTCTTATGTAGCTCCAAGATTGTTCAACAGGTTGCGAATGTCTGTCAAGAGTCTGTTTGTACTTTCAAATCTCAGTTGAAAATAAATCTCTAGAGCTTATGATCTTGATCATACTGTCACTCTTGAATATGCACTTCAGCATTTCTTATTCATTGTTATTGTATTTATGGATTGGTGAGTGAGTGCTTGTGAATGTCTTTCCAGAGCAGGCACTGAAAAATAACAATTCCTGAAAAATAACAAAACCCAAATTTTTATTATAATTATTATGTGCATGTAACCAGTTAAATATTACAGTTTAAATGTTATTTATCACATGTTTTTAGGTTTCAGTTATTTTTATTTTTGTTTTATGTTTTGACAGAAAGTTTATCGACATGATTGAGGGTGCAACGCGTAAGCTGTCAGTTGACAACATTTATGTCGTAATAAAAGACATATTAGACAGTTTGAAACGCTACAAAGATGTTCCCTTTGGAGACAAGGTAAGTTACACATGATTGTTACTTTTTTATTATACAGGTGCCCTTTGACTTAGGATGGTTCGACTTAAGATATTTCAACTTTACAATGGTGCAAAAGCAGTTACATTTTGGAGATGAAACTTGAGATATTTACCTAGCATGAAGGTGGCAGGTCCATAGCTTGTACAGGTGTCCCTCAACATTCGCGAGGGTTAGGGGATCAAGAGCCTCGCGAATGTTGAAAAACCGTGAATGTTTGGTGCCCCAATATATTGTAGGGAATTATAATACAATACTGCTTAACTTGTTGAACCATGAACAATCATAAAATACATGAAAACGTCGTAAATTGTACTAAATATATACATGTTATGCTTTAATAACATGTATGTTATTAAATACCACAGACTCCACCACTGCCTCCACCACTGCCTCCACCACTGCGGCCACCACTGCGAGTCCCTACTACCCTCCCTCCGACCCCCGCAACTGGCAGCCAGCCCTCCCACCACTCAGTGTGGTGAGTGTTTTGTTTATTCATTATTTGCTATTAAACTACAGTATAAATAATGTAAACACATTCATGACTGCATATTGGAATGGCTGTTTGAACAGGTATTGGACGGTGACATCATGTGTTTACTCTTGAACACAGCAAAGAATCAAACATTTCTGCTACTGCTAATAATAATAATAATAATAATAATAATAATAATAATAATAATAATAATAATAATAATAATAATACGATATAATTGAAGGAGGAAATTGTACAAAAATTCGAGGGAGTGGTTGACACATCTTCAGTGTGGCTTTGTTTATGCTGGAGTGAACATTAGTCTCCCTGCTCTTCCAAACATTTCACAATAATTCAGCGGTTGAGGCAGTGGTAGAGGCAGTAATAGAGGCAGTGATAGAGGCAGTGGTATTTACTAACATATACGTATGTTATAAATAATAATAGTACATGTTAATATTAATAACATTTATAATAATAATAATAAATGTTATTCATAATGTACTATTATTATTTATAACATATATGTTAGTAAATATCACTGCCTCTACCACTGCCTCTATCACTGCCTCTATCACTGCCTCTACCACTGCCTCTACCACTGCCTCTATCACTGCCTCTACCACTGCCTCTATCACTGCCTCTACCACTGCCTCTACCACTGCATCTACCACTGCCTCTACCACTGCCTCTATCACTGCCTCTATCACTGCCTCTACCACTGCCTCTACCACTGCCTTTACCACTGCATCTACCACTGCCTCTACCACTGCCTCTACCACTGCCTCTATCACTGCCTCTACCACTGCCTCTGTCACTGCCTCTGTCACTGCCTCTATCACTGCCTCTACCACTACCTCTACCACTGCCTCTATCACTGCCTCTACCACTGCCTCTACCACTGCCTCTACCACTGCCTCTACCACTGCCTCTATCACTGCCTCTACCACTCCCTCTACCACTGCCTCTATCACTGCCTCTATCACTGCCTCTACCACTGCCTCTACCACTGCCTCTACCACTGCCTCTATCACTGCCTCTTCCACTGCCTCTATCACCTCTACCACTCCAGTCACACTCAATCTACAAGCACCAAACAATGAATTATTGTGAAATGTTTGGAAGAGCAGGGAGACTAATGTTCACTCCAGCATAAACAAAGCCACACTGACGATGTGTCAACCACTCCCTCGTATTTTTGTACAATTTCCTTCTTCAATTATATCGTATTATTATTATTATTATTATTATTATTATTATTATTATTATTATTATTATTATTATTACTATTGTTATTATTAGCAGTAGCAGAAATGTTTGATTCTTTGCTGTGTTCAAGAGTAAACACATGATGTCACCGTCTAATACCTGTCCAAATAGCCATTCCAATATGCAGTCATGAATGTGTTTACATTATTTATACTGTAGTTTAATAGCAAATAATGAACAAACAAAACACTCACCACACTGAGTGGTGGGAGGGCTGGCTGCCAGTTGCGGGGGTTGGAGGGAGGGTAGTAGGGACTCGCAGGTGGCGGGAAACTTGAATATGATTTGGCGGCTGGGAATTTGGTGGCTGGGAATTTGGCGGTTGGGAATTCGCGAATGTGTGAAGCCCGCGAAAGCTGAAAACGTGAATGTTGAGGGAGACCTGTATTCATTTATTTATTTTTCAGTGTTGGTATTTAGTTACAGTAATTATTTGTTTATTTACATATTCATATTCGACTTAAGATATTTTTGACTTACAATGGGTTTGTCAGAATGTAACCCCATTGAAAGTCGAGGAGCACCTGTACATACATATTCTTAGTTTTACACAAGTGGTATTATGTCTGTAGGCTTCCAATTATGGAACTTAATAGATCTTGCAGGTGTTGATTCATTGTATTTATGTTATTATTGTTACCTTTTTCATTTTAGGCATCCTCACATGAACGTAAAAAAATACTGTATTTATGGGGAAATGCTAAACCTGCAGGGGGTCATATACCAAAATACCCCTTAAAACCCTCTGCTATTCAAGTGTTTTTTAATCTGCCTTAGTTGGGTTTGATGTGATGATGTGAAGGGGAAGATAGCTCTAATTCCTTGACATAACGAGTCCTTCACCAGCATCAAGGCACCCCTCCCCCCCCCATCTTGAGGGAATTAAATATATATATAATAAAATATGAAATACAGTGGACAATCATAATTCACGTAGTTTATATTCCTGACAATTGCTCTGCCTATTATTTGTATGGCTTATGGAATGAAAAGCATGAGAAAAGTAGGGTTATGTTTCTTAGACCTCCAGTAGAGCCATAATAATTTTTAATGTAATGCTTCTAAAAATTGTAGTTTCTGAACTTTAGTGAGATTCAGACTCTGAAAAGGAAGACTAGGTGTAGCTAAGAATGGTTACTTCAGTATTAGAGTATTTATTACCTTCAGGTTGGGTTACTGATGCTTAACATCCTAGAGTGGAAAGGATGGCTGTGGCCCTGTTGGGTTTGGGTTGATGCAATGTTGAAGGTTGAGTATCTTGGGATGCTGATGCAGCTTCATCAGTTGATTGTTGCTGTGGAGTGCTCAGGTATTCTGTCATATGCTGCTGGTTTGTTGTACACTGCAGTTTTTTTTTTATACAGCTCATTGTGTATTCTAAACTGGTTTATTAAACCATTCATCACTAAATGTGACTTGTTTCTGGGCTGTCTTTCCTCCTTGCAAACTGTTTTATGGTATGATAAGGCTTGTCTTCTAATAATAAGGCCATTAAGAGGAACACCCATATTTCTTGATTTGTTTTCTTTTCAGGCCACACATTTAGTAAACTCTCTTTTTTTATTTAGCTGTAAAGACTTATAGTATTCCTCATTCTTTTCACTGTGTCACATTAAGGATTACTCATTGCCCAAGCATTTATTGTTATCTCATTGTCTCAAATTGAATCAGCTGTTGATTCTCTTGACACCAAACACTTGTCGTCTCAATGACTCATGCACTGTCTTTCAGTATCTTGGTTACCTCAAAATTTTTTAAATAGGCATAGCTTTATGCTTAATTCTCCTCTTTGCTTCACCATTGTCCCCTGCACTTTGTTTGGATACCAAGATAAATATCCAGAGACAAGATGGAAAGAAGGAAAAATGAGCAATGATATACATTGATATATGTTAGCCTCTGATTTTGTGATTTTCAGTTATTGACTTTTTTTTGTCAAAATATAGTCTCTGCTTTTGTTAATTCCCTCTGGTTTCATCAGTCCTGCGTAACATGTCTGAATGCCCATGTGCACACACAGCCTCCCACACACCATTCTGAGTCAGTATGGCATTGTTTCTCGGCGAGTAAACATTACCCTGTGAGGTCATACTAAACATTTCGTAATAATCCATTGTTTTTTGTGCCTGTTTATTGTGTGTGACTGCTAAATAAGCCACCATGGGCCCAAAGAAAGCTCCTAGTGCCAGCCCTATGGTAAAGAAGATGAGAAGCACGGTATTATTCAAGAAAGAATTTGTAGCAAAGTACCAAAGTGGAGGAGGAAGAGAGAGGGGAGAATGTGTCTTCTTCAGTGATTCTACGATATGTACGATACTAAAGCAGCAGGAGCCAGTGATAAAGTGTAGCATTATCAGTGTAGCAAGTAAGTTAAGCAATTAAGTGATAGAAAAAGTATGACACGAAACTAACTCCTCAAATGTTGTTGGAGGTATATAGGGCCACTGACAAGATACGCCGCCCTGCATATCTTCCACTACCCTAAACCAATGCCAGCATCTCCTCTGAGGTAAGTGTAAATATTTCTTATTTATAAAGTGTAAATCTTTCTTATTTATAAAGTGTAAATATTTCTTATTTATAAATTAAAGTGTAAATATTTCTTATAAGAACATAAGAAAGAAGGAACACTGCAACAGGCCTACTGGCCTATGCGAAGCAGGTCCAATTCTCCCACCGGCTTAATCCAACACCTTAACCTAGTCAGGTCAGTCATGTCACTTAAGGGAGGAGCACGGCATCTGACCTAGTAGCATAAGCAGTCGGGTCCCACCCACACCCACTCATGTATTTATCCAACCTACATACGTATTTTTAAAACTACACAACATCTTCGCTTCTATAACAGTACTCAGGAGTTTGTCAACTCATTCACAACTCTGGTACCAAACCAGTGTTTTCCTATATCCTTCCTGAATCTGAATTTTTCCACTTTAAATCCATTGCTGTGAGTCCTGTCTATGTTAGATATTTTTAGCACACTATTTACATCCCCCTTTATTAATTCCTGTTTTCCATTTATACATCACAGTCATATCCCCCTCTAATTCTATGCCTTTCTAGAGAGTGCAAATTCAGGGGCCTATCCTGTATGTAATGCTATAGTTATTCTCTTTAATTTTTTTTTTCAACAAATCGGCCGTTTCCCACCGAGGCAGGGTGACCCAAAAAGAAAGAAAATCCCCAAAAAGAAAATACTTTCATCATCATTCAACACTTTCACCTCGCTCACACATAATCACTGTTTTTGCAGAGGTGCCCAGAATACAACAGTTTAGAAGTATATACGTATAAAAATACACAATATATCCCTCCAAACTGCCAATATCTCAAACCCCTCCTTTAGAGTGCAGGCATTGTACTTCCCATTTCCAGGACTCAAGTCCGGTTATATAAAATAACCGGTTTCCCTGAATCCCTTCACTAAATATTACCCTGCTCACACTCCAACAGCTTGTCAGGTCCCAGATACCATTTGTCTCCATTCACTCCTATCTAACATGCTCACGTACGCTTGCTGGAATTCCAAACCCCTCGCCCACAACACCTCCTTTACCCTTCCCTCCAACCTTTTCGAGTACGACCCCTACCCCGCCTTCCTTCCCCTACAGATTTATACGCTCTCCATGTCATTCTAC